TAGAGAAGCTAAACCACAATATACAAGTGAAGAAGACAAGGTAAATCTATACATAATTAGGAACATAATTAAAGTCTCTAATACAATTTGGCACTCAACCAACAGAAGCGAAATGACAAACAAGCCAAGCTTGATGCCTGCTACGAATGCTGCACCCATGTCCTCTGGCCCGAATGGTGTGCCAATGCCGTCCGGGGCGATGGCTGGCACGGGATCTGGCCCTAAACTGGAGAACAGCACCATGCGCATAACATCGAAGACGAAAGTGTCGACGGGCAGTCGCCGGAACAACATAAGTGAGTAAAATGCATGTAACATTGCCTTAACATTGGCTTAACATTGCCTGATTTTTCTTCACAGTTGATTTTAAGCCACGCAATTCGCCCATGCAGCAGAGCTCACCATCACGTCCAGTTGCCTCACACCGCAGTCCGCAATCGGCGCCGGCGTAAGCATTGCATTCTCTCTATAAATATATTTCCTATTCACTTCTATATCTTTGCTCTTTAGCTGGCATGCCAACAATGCCCAGCAAACGTTGCCCAGCATACCTATGATAATGGACGATGATGACTTTGGCTTGAGTGCAGCGCTGCACAATGGCGGCGGCCAGGCGAACATCTCGGGCTCCTCCACAGGCTCTTCAGTTGGCCAGCCGGACTTTGGCTCAGTGAACATGGGAAAGCAACGGCAGGCGTCGAGCCAAGGTCACGCCAAGCGGCAGCAGCAGACGCAACGTTCAAGTCCGCCCATGCAGCAGCAACAGCAACAGAATTATGGACGTGGCGGCGCCAACAACAACTACGCACAGCAGCTGCAGCAGCAACAACAGCAGCAGCAGCAGCAGCAACAACTGCAGCAGCAGCAACAGCAAATGCAGCAACGCGCCTCATTTAGCCATAGCAATCATAGCAATAGTATGCCCCTGGATTTGGATTCGCCCAGTCATCATGAGCAGGCGGCGCAGTCTATGGCCCAGGCAGCCGCCGTGCTGGAACAGGTTGGTATCTGCAGCGTTTGCCATCGCATTGCTCGTTAGCAGTTTCAATTCCTTTGCAGCAAATTGGCGGCGAACTGAGTGCATCCAGCTCGAGCTCCGAGTCTGAATCCAGCGACAGTGACAGTGGCAGCGATTCTGATGACAGCAGCGAGGATGATCGTTCCACGCACCAGCAGCAGCAGCCGCCCGGGCAGCTATCGCAACATCATCATCATCATATGCAACAGCAGCAACACATGCATCAGCTGCCTAATCTGGGACTGGGTTCTATATCGCCCACATATAATAATAGTCATCAACATCATCAACAACAACAACAGCAGCAGCAGTCGCGTCATCATCATCACCAGCAGCAGCAGCAACAGTCCGGCATTTATGCATCCAATGGTGGCTTCCCCAATGACTTGCTACAAAACGATCTGCAATTGTCCTCAAATTCGTCCGACGATGATGATTAGCCTTTTTTAAATAGTAAACCATTTAGTTGTAATCTATATATTGCCTTCTTTGTGGACTACTTTAAACAACAGCAACAAACGACCATAAGCAAATATCAACAAAAATCATTATGTAGTGAAATGGGAAAACCAATATTAATTATTGATATTCATTCTCTCTGCGTTTAATTAATTTGAAATTATTATTGAATGGTGAATTTAATTGCTAGTGAAATTTTTATAAATAAATTTTTAGTTCTATGGTTACACATGCAGACATACACATACACATACACATATGAATATACATATACATAGACATATATCTATATATATATATATATCTATAAAGCTAAAGCTAAACTAAACGATAATTTTTAACATTATTTTTAGAAAAGCAAACAAATGTGCTGGAGAACATTGAAAGCAAACAAACACCACAACCACAATGTAATTCGTAATTGTAAATGCTAAGCGTACTTTTGCCAATATTTCAATGTACATTCGTTTTAAAATTAAATCAAAGGTTATGTGAACAACTTGGCAGTCCAACAGCAACAACAGCGACAACAAATTATTTAGTTTCTAATTGAATATTGAAGTGTGTATATATACATATATATATATATTATACATGTACGTGAAATGGAACGGATAACAAGAAATGACCAGAGCGGATTTTTGCCATTAATTACGCATTTTAGTCTAAGCAATTTTTCAGCTAACATTTTAGATTTAACAATTTTTGACAAACAAACACCAAAAGAGACGGACAACAAGAATACAATATACATAATAAACAAACAAATAAACCTAATATAAATAATTAACTAAATATACATTGTAAATTAGTTTATGCTTTGTAATCATTATTATAATTATTAATTTTTTTTCTGTTCTTTCCTTCGATCGTTTTAGTCAAGTAAATTTTAATATGCGATTACTTCATTGTCATTGTTATTGCGCAATAAAAGAAAAGTTTATGTTTAATTTTCAATTAGTTTTGTTAGACGATATTGCGAAAGTATTTAGTAATTAATGCTAGCGTGCGGTATGAAGACATCTATCTATGTTCTTAGCTCATGTTTTTATTTGAATTTATTTGTAATTTTTTTAATTAATTCGTAATTAACTATTATTATTATTATTATTTTTTTATGATAACTGCAGTTTGGATAATAATGCGACTCCTTCCAATAGAGAAATGCACTAAAGAAAATGAATAATGAAAAATTAGAAGAATAACATTTTTGTTAACATTTTACACTAATAGCATTTAGTTTCCTATACAAAAAAGCATTTGTAAAGAACCATCCAGAAGAAGAAGATGAAAACGAAAAACAAACGACCAACAGTTGAAACGTCTACACATAAACAAAAGAAGAGAGAATAATAGAATTATTTTTTTAAATGAATTAAACTTATGAAATGTTGACAAAATCTATGTTTGATTTCCAAGCCATAGATATTTCATTTACAAATAATTTTTACAACACCAAAAAAAAAAAAAAAAAAAAAAAAAAAAAAAAAAAAAAAAAAAAAAACAAAGAAAAAGTAGAAGGAGAAACTGATAATTGATTCTGATAATCATAAGCACAATGTATGTTGATCTATACAGCTTAGAGAACTAACTAAAATTAATTTTTAATAGAAAAGGAGAGAAGGAGAGAAACGAAGAGAGAGAGCGAGCAAGGGGAAATACTCTTTAACAATGAAAAATCAAGCAAGTAGTTTAATTGATAAGCAAATGTACGCTATATATATATTATAATGACACATATATATTCATACAAGCATACCATACGACGATAATGATAATGATAATGACAATGCGATACCCAAGACCGTAAACACTCGGCTCTTGTAGCAGTTGAACTAGTTTTAATTACAAAGCAAACAACAAATCAACCAATACAATGATGACAAATGCAACGTTATGTAAATAGTTAAGAGCACACACTCAAACACTCATGCACACATACACACACAGAGAGAGTACATGCCCTTGAAAATGCCTTTACCATGTAAATAGATGAACGAAGATCGAAGCAAGAGAGTTACACAGCTTCGGCTGCCGATTACATTTAAATAAAGTGAACGAATTATGTATACAATTAAAAGAATTATTATTATTTCATATAGACCCACACATATACATAAATACTGACACTATAGATATTCACATAGTAGAGTCTGAGATCCTGTTAGCGCTGGTTGGCGGCAATACCTTCGGCTTGATGATCACAAATCGGCAAACTAAGGCCGCATCTATCATCATCACCGCGGCGGAGTTGTCAAACATGTTGCAGTAGTTGGGCGCCGAGAAGACTGTGACCAGTCTGCGTCCGGCAAAGAATTCGTACCCATCTTCGACCACCTGATGGGCGCGCACCATCAAATTGAATTTGTGCGCCTCGAGGAAGGCGTTGACAATGTTGGCGCCAAAGGTGAAGCTGACGCCGCGATCATTTTCACCCCAATTCTCGATATTGTTATCGGGATCCGACCAGAGCAGATCGCAGAGCAGTCCGTGCGGCGGCACCTCAATGGGTCGCGGTATTTGACGTATGACACTGACATCATCCAGATCCGGACTTAGTCCTCCGTGACAGCAGAAGACTTTGTTCTCGATAATGGCCGCCACGGGCATACAGTTATAGCAGTCGACAAAGGTGCGCCACAGCTTGATGCTGTAACGGCGCTTGCACTCGTCGAAGAAGCCGTAGATGCGATTCACTTCACTCGACTCGTGATTGCCGCGCAGCAGGAAAAAAGTCAACGGATATTGGATTTTGTAGGCGAGCAGCAGCGTCAGCGTCTCAATGGACTGTTGCCCTCGATCCACATAGTCACCGAGGAACAGATAATTGGCTTGCGGTGGAAAGCCACAGTTCTTGAATATGCGCAGCAAATCCTCATATTGTCCATGTATGTCGCCGCAAATCTTAATGGGTGTACTTAGCTCCAATAGCATTGGCTGGCTGAGAAAGAGACTACGCGCAGCCATGCACACATTCGTTAAGGTCCTTTCCGATAGGACGACGCCAGCTAAGGGCGTTTTATTGGTCGATAGCTTCAGTATTATTTCCTTCAACTCTACTGGGTTCAATTCTGTGCTCCTACTAACGGACGTTATACGATAAGACATAATTTTAGTATACTCTTACAACTTGATTTTGAAACGGTTTCTTATTTAAAATGGCCCGAAAACGTTGCACAGCACTGAATGTGGTGCATAAAATCGAAACGGCAGTACAAACACACAATTCCTTATCGATATTTTTTAAATACTTATATATATATCGATATAATTTGTAAACACACCGCTTGCTGCGTGCGGCAGAAAATTGACATTTTAAAACGAATCCATTGGAAGACATTAACATGATACCAATTGGCAGCAATGATAATGATGTAATTAAAAGAAATGCATTTTTATATTTCATAGATTTAAGAAAATAATACCGGAAGCTGGAAGAGATGAGCAGTTCATTCTTTTCGCAGTTTTTTCGTTGAGTTGCGTCATCGGCTGTTTAATGGCAAACAGCTGATTAGAATTTCGACAAACAGCGTGTTTTTTTTTATTGCGAATAGTTGAATTCCACCAATTGGAGAGATAGCAACAAGTGATTCTGGAAAAATCATGGGTGATGTTACGGGACTAACCAATGCAGAAGCCGATGAGCTATGCCAAAAACAGGATGCCTCTACTAAGGTAAGATGGAATAAAATGAGTTTTCGGGCTTGCAAGTAATATTGGCATCAAATTTTCGACAGGATTTCCTGTTCCAGCAGACCATGTACCGCATCAAGGATCCACGTAAATCACTGCCCTTTTACACTGGTGTCTTGGGCATGACTTTGCTGGTGAAATTGGACTTTCCAGAGGCAAAATTCAGCTTGTACTTTATGGGGTTTGTGCAATGACGCTTGCAATTATCTATAACATCTGGCATTTATAACATCTGTTTGCACAGCTACGAAAATCCTGCCGATATACCCAAGGATCCCAAGGAACGTCGCAGCTGGGCAATGAGCCGCAAGGCCACCATTGAATTGACTCAGTAAGTTTGACCTTTTGACCTGTCTAATATGGTTTATTGATTTTGTGAGTTTTTCTATCTGTTGTATTATTATAGCAACTGGGGCACCGAAAGCGATCCAGATCAAAGCTATCACAACGGCAACAGCGATCCACGCGGCTTTGGCCACATCGGACTGATGGTGCCCGATGTCTATGCGGCTTGCAAGCGGTTTGTCTGAGAATGCCACAAGATAGACTTAGTTATTAATGTATGTTTTATTATTGCTATATTTTTCATGTGCAGCTTCGAGGAGCATGGCGTGGAGTTCGTCAAGAAACCCGACGATGGCCGCATGAAGGGCTTGGCCTTCATCAAGGATCCCGATGGCTATTGGATTGAGATTTTCAATGCTTATACCATACCGAACTAGAAACTGAGATATGAGATCATTTTCTTTTCCTGCCAATTCAAATTGTTACGCAAATGGCAATTTTTTCCACACACACACACATACATATATTTTGTTGTTTTTAAGAGATTAAAGTTCATTTTCGCAGGATACAAATCAAAAGCTATATTTACTAATGGCGTGACAATTACCACAACAACAACAGCAACAACAACAACAACATACACTGTCTAGCCTTTCATTCATAAAGCCAGCCGTATATGTACATATATGTATATATGTATATAATTGGCTCCTATGTCCCTAATTGATTGACATATAGCTGCCACTCTAATTATTATTTACAGCAGCATGTGGAACGCTGGGACAGCCGGACAAAACTATTGTCAACAATGCGATACTGATGTGTTTTGCGTTTCCCTTTTGCAATTTTCACTTAGGCTGTCCGGCTCTAATATTGGTCAAACACGGGAGCGTATTATTTGCTCAGTGTCAAATGTGCTGGAAAAACTAACAGAGAAAAGCGTAGTTTTCACACGACAGCGGCGGCTCAGTGCTTGTCGAGTGCTTGGCGGCATCGTTTGAAAATCGCAAATTAACTAATTTAATTCAATATGGAAATTTCGGAGACTAATATTGGCATATTCTATGTTAGCAAACTTCTGGCCCTTGCCCCGTACTCGGCCAAAAAGAACTCGAAAGGTCAGCTAGAGATAACTCGCAGTTGGTTATTTTCCATATACTCGGTGTGCCTGTGCCTGATCATGGGTAGGTAGAGTACCCACTCGAGTAGTGATACGATCTACCCATATTAATTCTTTTTTGGGATTAGTTTTCCTCACCTATCGCGGTCTGCTATTCGATGCGAATTCGAATATACCCGTTCGGTAAGTTACATAAGAACAAGATTCAAAATTATGTTTATGTTTTTTGGATTTGCTTTATTTTTTTATTGGATTGAAACTTTCCATAAGCAGACTCTCCAGTTCTGCTTAGTTGTTCTCAGCAGCGGGCGGCGCCGCTCGAGCGATGCGGCCAACAGGCCTAAAGGTGGGTCGCGGCAGATACGGCGGCTTATCATGCCCGGCCAGTGCCATGGCGCAGATCGACAGCAGCAGCAGAATAATTGTGAAATTCATTTCGATTACGATCGACAGAGTTTGATTGATGTCACGCACTTGACATCGAGCGACTTTTATAGGCAAGCTCTGAGCTGCGCTCTAGCTGGGGTACTTTTTCTTTCATTGTGGGGGTTTACATGTTTGGAGACATATTTATGTGACCTGGCTAAGTAATTACTTATGTATGCATGTAGTTCAGTTCACTTGATCAGCATTGATTGCAAGTTGGAATTCTTTTTAGTTCGCGTACATAAAATACATAAATACATACTACTTATATATACTATGCTGCGCACATATTATATGATATCATAAGCACACATAACTTTGCTAAAAATAAATCTACGAATTATATAAAATTATGTCGCGGAGCGAGCGGAATATACTATGTATGTAGATATATAAATTTTATGATCTCTCTATTCCATATGTTTGGGCTTCTACTGTATTTCTAATTCTGAAATTCAATTATAGATACATATAAAATTTTTATTCATCTCACATAAATAGTTTTATGTGCCTAAGAACGATTCCATCGTATTTAGCATCAAAGTCTACGTTTTGCTATCTTTGTCGTCGTCGCCTTATTTAGCAATCTAGCTCTGACTCTCTCTCCTCTCTCTCTCTCTCTCTCTCTCTCTCTCTCTCTCTCTCTCTCTGAGTGACAAGTATCGGATATGAGTCAGAAGCCTGAAACTCAAAGTCAAGCTCATCCCGCTTTATAAAAGCTCTCAGTTGAAGAAAAGAATCAGAAAGTAAAGAAAGATGTAGATGTATCAATCTTACGATATTATAGTGGTATGATATATTTATATGCATAAATACATAGAAATATTTTCATATGTATACATATTTATTTGGATATACAATAATATGTTTTAATAAATTTTTTAAAAATGTAATTAATTTTAATGCAGAACATTAAAACAATTTTATATTTAGCAAGCAGGTTATAATAATTTTGTAACAGACAGAAGCTTAGTCGATTTAGGGGATACAAGAGCTAGAGACTTGAATTTCTTTTCAAGATCAAGTTTTTCTCCAAATTCGACAAATAGTCATGTTTTTGTATCATCGCTTGAAAATCGAAAATTAGCTATACAATTATATCTCCTGCATCTTTAAAGCTAAAGTGGAGAAACTTTAAATGTAGATTCATGTGTATTTTATAGAATTTCAATTTTTGTTATAATTGACCGCCACCCCTATATCCACCCTTTCACCCCTAAAATTTGGAAAAGATGTATTTCATCTTCAGCCCCTAGTGGGCTCAGACTATGCGTGTTAATGTCTGCGTGCTTATGCCTGTGTGTGTGCGTGTGTATGTGTATGTGTTGTTTCTGGTTTAAAAAGAAAACGACGAATTATTGAAATATCAGTTGCTGGAAGGGTTCCGGTTATCTGTGAATCGAGCTGTCTCAACTAGAGCTTTTCTCTGTAAAAGTTGAACTTCAATGCTAAAAGTTAGTCAAACGTGTTTAAAGTTTAGGAATTTTACGTGCACAGTCCCAAGCTCTCCGAGCTAGATCTGCAACTATAAAACGCGCCTTCAACAGTTCGCTGTTCTCCATGGCACTAGCCAGAAATTTAATACACTGTATTACAATATTAAAAACTTGTTCTAACAACATTCAAGATACGCCAGCAGCAGTTGAGGCATTGAATGAAAAAAAGGATTCAATACAATATTGATACAATATAAAATCAAATTTAATGAAACAATAAATATATTTTGATTGAATATAAAATATTCTTTATTTATTTTTATTTTTTGCGTATTAGCATTTAAAAGATGGAAAGTTCAATCATCAGCTGTGGCTTTTGGCCAGAAAGGTAGCCCGATATAAGCCTTTTGTGATTATCTGAGTTGAAGCTAAGCCTATTCTTTAGTAGAATATATTCAATATATTCTAGAAAATAAGTAATAATGGTCCCTAACGTAAATATCTAAAGTTAATTCCGATTTGAGCATCAAATGTGAACTTAGCATGTCCACAAACTAAGTAAAAGTAGATTCCGATTTCTGGCTACCAAATGGTAGTCCAATAAAATGAACCTTACAATTTTAAATGCTCCTAAACAATTTCTACTCAGAGTATTCAATATATTTACCAAAAAAGATTTTTTTATTTCTCTACAAAAGTTTAAATAAAGAAAGGAATATCTTGATCATACATCATCATCGTCATATGTGGCTTAAAGCTCCTGTATGTGATGTCCCCCACGTAGACTCCAATCATTCCTGATTCGTGTGATCTTAAGTGTTGCTTCAATTCGTTTGAATGAATTTTAATTTGAATGAAATCCAACACATCAAAAGTGCATCTTTCAGAATGAAATCGGCCACCTCGAAGGTAGTGACTGCCTCGGACGTTTCGGTTGTGGTGCTGGCCATCGTGACTGGTGTCTACTGTGGCATGTTTGGCCTGCGTGCCACACAGGAGCTGAACACGCGACTCGACAAGGTAAAGCTCTGATCGAGCAATGGAATATTCCCTTAACGAGACTCCATCACAGATCGACAGCACGCTGAGTCCCTACAACAATGTCAGGAAGGATCGCTGGCGCGCCTATGCCATGGCCACTGTGTCCCTCATCGTCATCGGCATTCTGCTTGGCCTGGACGTGGGCACCTGGGTGCGCATGGCACAGCAAATGAACATTAGCGACGAGGACACAGGTGAGGTTGCATTCGCTCTGTTCCCTTCCAGTATTTCAAGTCACATCCCATTGCCAGAGCTCAACGTGCAGTGGTATATACCCTTCTATAGTCTCTACTTTATATTGACCGGGCTGCACATCAATTTCGCGAACACGGCTTACGGGCTAGGCAGGCGCTATAAGCGGCTCAATCAAATGCTGAGAACCAGCTATCTGAGTGGTAAGTAAATAGCAGGGATATAACAAGAAAAAATACCAAATTCATATTGGAAATCGTGAGAGTTACGTATTTGATATGAATATTACCTCAATGGAGAAAATAAGAAAAATATGTGAAGAAAATATTACTACAGAGAAGGAAAATGAAAAAAAAGAAAAATTAAGAGCTTATGAAGTTAAGAGAGAGAAGAATAGATAAATAATGATAAGGTTAGAGCCCAAACTAACGGAAATAAAATAAATTTGAACAAAAGTGAATGTCGAACATAGAAAAGTGGAAAGCGAAGAAACGATAAGGTAAGGATAAAAAGGTGAAAAATACAGCGTAAGAGAAAGGGAACATAAGAGACGAAACAATAAGAAAAGGAAACAAAAGAGATGAAACGTGAAGAAGAGGAAACAAACGAGATAAAACACAAAAGTAATAGATAGAGAGAGAAGAATAAAATATAATGCGAAGGATCAATAAAGACGAAAATATCAACGCGAGCCAAAGGTCAAATAGAAATAGAAGACTGAAGAAGCTAAGATAAGAGAGAAAGATGAAAAAGAAATGACCTGTATGCTAAACCCTAAAACCAAAAGAATTTCCTAAGAAAGCGATCTAAATGTGAAATCAAGTCTTTTAACATTTATTTATAATTATCCTAGGGAATTTTCTATTTACCTTGATAAGTTTGAAGATCAAACAAGGGATATATAAACTCAAATTTAAAACCTTTTATGTATAGAGATACATATAAATATATGTATAGGTAGATATAGCAATCGTAATCCACAATTTACACCTTAGCAGACAAAAGTTATGGCAATGCCACAAATCTGGTCAGGGTGAGCGCTGTGAAGTCCATCAGCTTCAAGCCAATGATGCCAATGGCCCTGCATGCCAGCCTAACCAAGTTGAACACGGAGACCCTGCCTAATGAATCCGCCAGTAAGTAGCTATACATATGAGCAATAATCAGCAAATAGATGGACATCATTGCCCTACAGCCAAAAACAAAAGTTTGCTTATTCGAGCCATGGCCGACAATCACGAATCGCTGGGCAAATGCGTGCGATTGCTCT